TGTGTGTGTGTGTGTGCTGCAGATGGATCGGCTGCGTGGCAATGCTCTGCATGGTCGTCCTGGTCCTGGCCTTCAACATCCTCGGACTGCTGTGTGGCTCCTGTGGCTACGACAAGCAGGCTACACCAACAACCCGAGGCTGCCTGTCAAACACCGGTGGCAACCTGCTAATGGCGTATGTTACCAAGACAACCTTCCCCGCACTATATAGTAAATAGAAAGTGATTTTGGACATAGCCTAGACCTTCCTCATAGCAAACATTTGGACTTTTCCAGGGCCCTGCTATTGTGCTACTGTTACTTCTTCTCTGCTACACCTGAGTGCAATAAAGCCATTATCAGTGCTGTTAGTTACACCTGGGTTTCTTCAAATGTCTTATATTATTGTAGAATACAACATACAAATTGACAATAAGGGACATGAAAGACAAACATTAAGTGGGAATTTAACTGTCAAACTTGGTGAAACTTTATGAATTGTCAGAGTGGCATACTGAATATTTGTTTGATCTCTCTACAGACACTTTAACTACGTGGTTGAGTAATATCTAGAGATTTAATTTCACACATTAATGAGTATCTCCTGAGATGCAGCAGAGACAGGTTACTGACATTATAGTCTGTTTATAGAAAGGTCCGAGTGTGGCCAAAGTTCAGTTTTATACACACTTACTTCCCACAATTTATATTACTTTGATGATGCATTTTGCCAGTGAAAAGTTAGGTACTTTTTTAGTTTACCAGTTACTGAAAAAAGAGCCAGCAGCTTAAGTTTGGAACCTGAATGTTGGTTGATTAGACCAAAGGAAAAACTTTAAACAAAGGGAAGAAATGAAGCAAACATGTTGTAAAAGATGAAAGTAGGAAACAGAGACTATAAGATAACTGACTGACACACTCTGTCTCTTGCTCTCTCAGTGGGGTTGGCTTCTCGTTTATCTTTGCCTGGGTGCTGATGGCCATGGTGACCACCTTGTTCATTGTCGGTGGCAATGTGGAGAAGCTGGTTTGTGAGCCGCTGGCTAACCGGCAGCTGTTCAAGGTACTGAATACAAACTCTCTTCCTTCCTGAATCGTCTTATTTTCATTCCCCTCTCTGCCTGTTTAACTTGGAGAGAGTTTTATCTGAGCAGGATTGTGTTACATAACGGACAACACTGTCGCTCTGTGCTGATGAATATGCATGTGTGTGTGCAGATCATAGACACACCATTCCTCGTTCATCCCGCCAAGAAGAACTTCCTTCCTGGGATGCTGTTTCAGAATCCAAACATTGACTTGACTTTGGGAAGCATGTATAGGTAATATACCAACAGCTGATACTGTACATAATTGTGCATAAAGCTGTTCTTACGCATCCAAAAGATGTTTGTTTTCAGCTCCAAAAAGACATTGTTTGCTGCAATTTACAGAATGTGTATCTAGTAATAGAAAGTGAAGCAAAAAATGGAGAAAGAATGTAAATGAGCTGCTTATTATCATTTAAAGTAATAGATAATAAATGTGTAAACTGTTGTTTCTGCAGCAAATTACCTTGATTTCTTTTTTAATGTTAAAGATGAACACCAATGGAATACCATACTTTCAGAAATAAAAATGAGCTGTACGAATATAAATTTACACTGCAGCAGTTTCGGTGTGTGACCATACTGTATGTGTGTTGCAGGGACTGCTTTGAGAACAACGGTCTGTACCATGCTCTGCAGCTGGAGACCATGTTCAACATCAACTCCTTCCTCAACAGGACCGTGGTATGTGTCAGTTTCCTGTGTAGGAATTGATTCTTTGGTGGAGGAACATGAAGGACAACCGTGTGAGTTTTTAATGTTTGTTTCACAACAGTACAACAACGATCTGGCCAAAGTTTTTGAGAGCGTGCAGGTCGATCTGCAGGACATCACGCTGCTGGAGCAGGCCGGCAGAGACAACCTCATCAACTTCGCCAACTCTGGAATCGGACAGATCGACTATGAAGCCTATTTGGCTGAGGTGATCTGTGTGTGTCTGTGTGTGTACAGTTCTTGTATTGTATCAAACGGTGGAGATTCTCCTCCAGTATGGGGACAAAAAGTAAGTCCCCACAAGGTAAACTTATGGGTTGACACCTGTTTTTAGTTAAGGTTAGGCTAGGCCTTAATCTAAATTAGTCTAAATTAATGTCCACAAACAGTCATAATGTTGTTGTGTTGAGGTTATTATAATAGACTAAATAAGTATAACTGTTGTAATATGAAAATTTAATGAATTTAGTAATAATTTTAAAGAAAAAAAAGGATAAAAATAAACATAAATAAAATGTTGTTAATATGCAAAGAGGATTACTTTTTTGGCTAATTCAAATTCAGATTATGCACTGAAACAATTTAAACTACACCAAATCCAGACTGAAACCTAATTAACATAACTACTAATTGTGCAAATTTAGGGAACCTGAAACTATATTATCCCTGCTTCATGAGTGACTGTGTTTTATTGTTTTAGGTAAATAAGGGAGTCACTCTCGTGGATCTCCTGTCCTTCTCCACCGACCTGGAGGCTCAGGCCGACCAACTGGTGAGTCTCATCATTATCGTACCAACAAATTACAGCAACAGCACAATAGCTTTTATCGTTCAAATGCCAGAATCATAAAGGAACGTCCTTTCTATGTTTGTCAGCTACAGGGATCGGTCACGTTTAGTTTCCATTCACGTTCATCTTATGCTGCTAAAGTAGTGCTAAATGTTAAGTGACACAGACCTAAACATCCTAATGACCCTTTAGATATATGTGTATGGACGCAAGCAGTCGTGTTTCTACTCTGACAGCATGTTTCTCTACCTTTTTTTCCAATTCACTGACTGAAAAGGATTTATTTGACAATTCGTATTACAAGTCTAATTAGTTTGTTTTGTTCATTTTAATTAATAACTATCGCTGTAGACTGTAGCAATGAAAATTATTAAAACATTCTTAAACCAACAAGTCCAAATGTGCAGTCAATATACACTCGGACAGCTTCTCTGGAAAATTATTTTGCTTTAAACTCAGAGATCTGGCTTGTTGGTCTGAACAAGCTGCCCATTCACTCTGAACACACACACACACACTTATAGCACATGTATAGTACATAGTACAGGAACTGTGCCATTTAAAGGCACATGGGACAGGCCACAGAAGGATTAGTGTGTGTGTGTTTCTAAGGAAGGAAAGAATAATAAATCACTGAGTTAATATTCATTACCTGCTGTATCCTCTGCACTTTGTGTGTGTGTGATTACAGCCACGTGGTGCTCTGGAGAACGCACTGAAGGGACACGCCAGCAGTATCCGACAGATTCACAGAGAACAGGTGGTTCCCATGGAGCAAGCAATGGTAATCACCTTCCCCCACAAGACTAACACCACACACATTAAACTCTTACAATCTATATATATATATGCACAGGCTAATACACATAAATCATCTCCTAAGTAAACAAATGCACAGTATATTTACTTTAAGAGAGTCAACTGAATAATAGCAAGAGCAATTTTATGCAGCATCTTTGAGCAAACATTCATTTTAAGAGTTTTTGTAACAGCTGATGTAGATAATTGCAGATAATATGCAACAACAATAAGGTACATTATTTCCTGCAAACTGCACAAAATATCCATGAATACATATAACAAAAATCACATTCGAAGCTACAACACATTCAGTAATCAGATCACAAGCTTAAGATCAAACATTGAATATTTCAGGCAATATAATATTAGTAAACATGTTCTATTAGCTGCTTAACTTTCTTCCTTTCTCTTTTTCTATCGTTAAATGGTGACAGAAATATGTCAGAGCGCGGGTAAGCCGCTGTTAAATCACAGCAATGTGACAGTGTTGTTTATGTGCGCGTTTGTCATAGCGGTGTTTGTTGATGTGATGGTTTAGTTGTCATTCAGTCCTGCAGTTAGGTTTTGTTTGGTAACAGTTTGTCTTTTCACACAGAGTACCCTGAGCCAGAGCATCAAGCAGCTGCAGAGGATGTCCAGCGACCTGCCGGTAAGGAAACGAGCAGAAGCACCAGTACTCATATATTGTTATAGTGTAGTGTTTTAGCAGCGGACAACCACAGTTTATAACAGTTTATTTTACGTTCATATTGACTTCTGTGATTTAATAAAGCCTTCTTATGTGTCCAAGTCAACATGAGTCCACACGAGAAATCAACAAGACAGGAAATGTCTTGTTGCATGTTTCACAGTCAAAAGCTTTGTTATGTTAAATAACAGCGTGACTTCAACATGAGCATGAAAAACTTGAATGAAACCATCACATGTTGTAAATAACAATAATAATACACTATAACAGTGTTGTGTATAACCAAGTCTACTAATTAAAGTGTGCATAAAACGTCTCATTAACGTCTGAATTCTTAACAACAAAGGATTTATTAAACATAATTACTTTCTCATTTGTCTGATAAGTACAAATTAATCTCTCTGTCTCTCGTTTTAGGTCAAGGTCACAAATATCCTGAGTGCCATTGATGCAGCAGAGTATCTCATCATTAATAACGCCTCCCATGTGGTGAAACAGGTAAAGAAAAATGAGAACAAACAGTATCAGCGATACGTAACTGGGCACACGTGGAAGCATTTCTTGCCACATTCGTTGCTTCAGACTAGTAAATTATAAGATATTAGGTGATAATATTCATTATATGATATATAGTTCAGCCCAGGCTTTTTACTTCCAGTTCCACCCTGGTTAACCTGAGCAGAAACAGCACTACTCATTCATAAATTATTCATTATTTTGTCTTAGCTTAGGAATTCAAACTTTCACTCAGTCACTAGTTTGCTAATATGTATTCTTCTCTGTAGGAAACAAAAGGCTACGTACAGAGCTTGGTCGGATACTTCAAACAGTACACAGAATGGGTTAAAAACTCGGTGAGTATGCAACAGTTTTCTATGATGTGTAGTACTGATGTCTCCTTTTAAAGATTACGGGTTAATAATTGACAGTACAGAGACATTGTCAGCAGAAGGGAAGAGTGTTACTGTCAGGTGAAGGGCTGAAGCATTCCTGTAGTGTTGGATTTATAGTCAAGTTCTGGGGCCTCCCTGCCCTGCAGAACAGAGCTGGCATCAATGACAACAATAATTACATTGATTCAATCAGATACAGTATAAAGGAAGATCTGGGTGGGTACGAGTGGGCAGAGGAAGCAGCGATCGGTAGACAGGCTGAAGCAGCTTAAATAAGGCGCCATGTATGATATTTGCCAGCTGGATGCTTGCAGGAAATCAGCTAAACTATGAGCTGATGTGGATGAACAATACTCTCAGTAATCGAGCTGCACTCTTTAGAGTCAACATGATGTTCAGAAGCTTTAGTTCTCTCACGTAACAGATTTATTTTAACAGTCGCTCTGATTTCTATTTGAAGTCTGTAATAAGAAGGTTGAGGAGAGATCAGTCAGCAACTGAAATGTCCTTTATGTGACGAATCTTTCCACTGCTGCGTACATACTTGAGTTCTGGAAGTCATCCACACATACGCTGTAATCTAAACTTACTGAATGTGTGTATTTTTCCCTACAGTTGACTGCAGAGGTGGCCCAGTGTAAACCCATCAGTAACATTGTGGACAGCATGGAGATAGTAGCATGCAGCTTTATAGCCGACTCAGTGGTAAGGCACCAGAACACTGTGCCTGTGTGTGTGTGTGTGTGTGTGTGTGTGTGTGTGTGTGTAAGGCTGCTGAGGTGGACTGATTCATTTCACAGCTGTATGTGCAGTATGTAAAGTACATTTTCCCCACATGTATTTGGATTTCAACTCGAAATATAAATGGCTCTTTGATGGTTTGAGGGAGCTCTGGGTTTCTGGGAGCAGTGAAGACTGTGGAGTCATTCGGCCCACACGCATGAGAACAGTATGTTCTCAAGCCTCTGACACACACACACACACTGAGATGAGATAGAGTCTGTTTTGAGGCAGGGCAGGGAGTTACACACACATAGATTCCTCACTGTTTTCACTCCGGCCCAGAGGAGTTTTAAAGTTTCATATTTACATATTGGCTATATATCGTTTAGTTAGTTTGTGAGTGTTTAATGAGAACTCAAACAAGCCACAGACTGTGGTTAATTTGTTGTGGCCGACAAAACCAAAAGAGCAGTGGTGGAAAGTAAAAAATTAAACTTACTTAAGTACTGTAAAATTACCATTTTATACTACTTAATATTTTACCTTCTTACTGCACAACTGTTGTTGCTTTACTGATTTTACATACAAATAAATATCATAAATTATAATAATAAACACTTAAATTATAAAGTTGTCAAAATTCGGTTTAAGTCCTCCAGCTATAACATTAATATGCTGGTTAAAATTAATCCTAATAACCCATTAATACAATATATAATGATATATTATTCTCGAAGGGGACATTCTGCTGCAAAATTACTTTTACTATTAATACTTTATACTTTTTTTTACTGCTACTACAGATCTGAAAACTTCTACCTCTTTATTTGAGCAAATGAATGACTTAAACTTACACATTTTTGACTAATAAATGTATTATTTTAGCACTAAAAATCAATTTTAGAGAGATTACTGTTTTATTGAGTTTGACAGAAATGTTCAAACTGACCTTTAAACATGTTTTTCAGAACACATTCTGGTTCGGTCTGGGAGGCTGCTGTATACTTCTGATCCCCAGCATCATCTTCTCCGTCAAACTGGCCAAGTATTACAGAAGGATGGACACAGAGGACGTCTTTGAAGAGTGAGTCCAAACATTTCGTACATACTGTATAGCCACAGACATAAATTAGTTTTTTTGCCAAGAGGAAATTAATTAATCATCTTCTTTCCTTCTCTCTGCTATTATTCCTCTTCATGGTCCTTGATTCTCCTCATGTCTTCTCCTCGTGTTATTTCCACGCTCTCTCTCCAGCTCCTCTTACCCGTGGCTCGTTGCACTTTGATGTATGTCTGCTATTAACGCGTCCTTTCGTCCTCTTCCACGAGCCCACTCCCTGTTTGGTACGGGACACTCAAAGGCTTTTTCATCTCTTTCGCATCTTTTCATCAGAAGTCACAAGCACGGTCTTTCCTTTCTTTGCACGGATCTTCATTTCATCGTCTTCTCCCCCTCCTCTGTCTCGACTTTATTTCTCCGAGGATCGCTCCATCCTTCTTGCCTTCGGCGGAGTCTTCCCCTTTCTCTTTCTCACCTGTCCGCCCCTCGCTCTTGTGTTGCAGTATGGGTAATACAGGTAATCACGGTGAACACGTGTGTGATACCCACGGAGACCTCGCCGTGGTCAGGTACGAGCAGCGTCTCCGCTTGCTTGCATGCCGCGGTGTTAATCGGTGGAGGGAGGAATTTTTTTGTCTGTATGATTGATTGTCTGCGGACAGTGAGACATTTACTGCATTTCTCCACACATGTTAAGTTTATAAAGAGTTTCCTGTATGTACGTACGTATGTGTGTGTGTGTGTGTGTGTGTGTACATGTAGCTCTCCCTATTATGACACTCTGACCCGGTTCCCTCGGGCCTCTGCTCCCCCGAGCTACTGCGACTGGTGACCCGAAGGAGCTCGCGGATGAGGTACTGATTGTCACTTATAACTTCTCACTAACCCTCATAACGACGTTAACAAACTAAAACCATCTGAGAACCTCCAGACATTTAATCATCATCATCAGTCTCACTTCAGTGTTTCTTCCGTTTTTTTTTTCCGTCTTCATTCATCACCGTTATCTTTTAACCACCAATGTCCTTTCAAACACCAACAAGGAAGAGTTACTCATGACGGAGTCGGTTTAAGCTGAAGAGGCTTTTATACACCTGCATCCAAATTGTGTGTAACTATGACTGATTTTAGTGTTTGTGTCTGTGGGTTTGTCCGGCATGTAAGAGACATCCTGTAGGGAGAACAACTACCAAAACTTATAGTGATATATCCGATTTTTTTGAAGTGGAGGTCGTATGAAGTACTTATCCATAGTCAGTGTATTACCTATTAATATATAATAAGATTAATATTTCTTTGCCGTCAGAAACTGACATTAAAGAAGTCTGGTGGCTTTGAAGAGAGCGATATAATGGAAATGAATGTCTGACGGCAAGGTAATGTTGTGAAGATATTCTAAGATATAGTATACCTGGTTTCATGGAGACCTCATCCACAGCAGTACATCGTTTAACTTCAATGCTAGAACTCCTGTCAGCTTCTCCAAACCAGGGATGCAGTGACGTAATGTTTACTGTAGGTTACACACAGACTATGGATAAGTACCTCATACAACCCCCACTTCAAAAAACCTGAACTATTCTTATTTACCTGAGATGCTGTTGTGTGTATATCAATAAAGATAAAACATGTACACAAAAATAACACAAATACAGACCTTGACTTTTATTATACTATTTTTTAATTTTAGATTTATTTTTTGTTTAAAGAGTATTTTAGTCTCTATCTTCTATCGATTGTACCATCTTTAGTTTCTGCTTATATAGTTTAAATTTGCATATGTAACTGTGGCTCATCACAATATTTATCATAAACATGTTGTCTTCTGACCTACCGTATATAAGTTTACATCCAATTTATGTTTGTTTGCTCTATCCCTCTACAGTCTATCGTAGTAAAGACAGTGACAGTGCTTAAGTCAGCCTAAAAAAGGATCTCCTACTACTGAGTACTTCTGTAGGTCTCGAGCATGCACACAAGTAAAGCAGCTGATAAACCCAGAGTTGATTTCATTTTCTCTTTTTTCCACAGCGGACAAGAGAACTGGAATTAACATTTCCCTTCGTGGTAAGTGCTCATCTCCTCTCTTCATCCAACAAAAACACACTGTGTGACGACGGCAGCTTATTTCTCACATGGTCTTATTGTTTTTTTTAGGATCTCTGGACTTTGAAGCTTTCCTATTCAGATCTTGTAACACTTCCAAGAACCAAAGGGAAGAACAACAACAACAATCAGGAACTGTGTGGTGAGGGCGTCCCAACCCCCCCAAGTACCCCTTCAGGCCATTTGACAGGGACCTCTGATGCCAGCCAACTGTAATTTATCAAATATTCTCTTAGTGCACACCAGCATCCAGTCGCAGCAGTACCACAGCAGTCCTTCTAGTGCGTCATACTGCACATTATCGACTATCAGAGCAACGTTCCTGCATAGATAGTTTTACCTGTAGATTACATTCGTTTGTACTTACATCATCAGTTTTAACACGGTGACACAAGTGTACATTTTTTACGCTTTCAAAACTTTTGAAAGTTTTATATATTTTTATTAATGTTTGTTTTATAACATGTAAGTAGGTTTTTTTTTTTTTTGTAGTAGCACTAGCTCTTTTCTGTCCTTTCTTTTCTTTTCTTTGTTGATATTTGTAATACTGCTCGCATCATTTTGGCTCCACACGTTGCATGAACCAGTAAATGACAGAGTAGTTTAACATTTTGGGAAATACGCTCATTCGCTTTCTGTGTCGAGAATTAGAAAAGATACGACGGGTCTACAGCCGTGTTCGCAGTGATGCTTTGAGCTAAACGCTAACAATCTCACAATGATAATGTATCAGCACTTAAACCTATTATGGTCATAAAACAAAGTATTTTCAATCAGGAGAGACTTTATTTTGAATGAATTAATATATTTAATTGACATGTGCACAATAAAGATGAGAAATGTGAAATGTTTTTGTCGATCAGACCCCATCGGGACGTTATCGTATCTGAAGGGGATCACCAAAGTCACTCAGATTTGTCCTCTGAGGTCCATAAATGTCTGCACAAAGATTCATACCAATCAACATTACCATCTTTAGAGACTTGCCACAGTTTTCCAGTTTCTAGTCTTGGTGCTAAGCTAAGCAAACATCTGGTTAAGTATCATGGTTAGCAAGAGAGCGAAAAGAGAATGAAGAGTTCAGCACAGAGTTTGTCCTGGTCCATTGCTAACAACAAGAGGCAAAGTGTTATCAGCTATCCAACACACACACACACACACACACACACACGAGCCACTTACACATACCCTAACAAGGTTTTCAGACAGCTAACAAACAAAATATTGTGTCTTAGGCATTTTTTCGCCAGACCATTAGCGAGGGCTTAGTTGCTTGTGTTGTAAGAGGTTTTTTTTTTCTTCGACATCCTGTGGTTTGAGAAATAAAAACTCAGAGGTTGAGGACTGAGCCTCCACAATACAGCTGGAGTTGTGATGAGAGTGCAAATCTGTGAATAAAAACTTCAGTCCAATAAGTGTCTGCTTTTGTTTTTCCTCCATTAACACATGAAACATGAACTGGATGGATACAACCACTGTTCTCTGACTCACACATATACACTATTACAGCAAGAATACACACCCACTGAGGAAACTCAGATATAAATTTTTTGTGCTTTTAAAGGTCATAAAATCTCCCCAAATGTTCTTTTAAGTGTGCTTTTATTCTCTTTACATAACCTCTGAGCCACTGGAATGAAAAGAGAACACATTTGATGACCGAAGCAACTTAGCCTCAGTCTTGCCAAAACACACAGGAACGTAGAGAACATTCATGTAACATATGCAGAGCTGAATACATGCACACACACACAGCAGCTTAAAAGGTTCAGGTCTGGTTTTGGGGTGAGGGGGGTTGACAGGTTTGCGAGGAGCGGTGGGGGTGGTTGAGGTGGCGTGATACTGTTGCATCCTATCAGAAGACGACTACACTAACTTAATTTAGGAAAACATCTGTTCCAGTCAACATACTGTACACACACACATCTCACATGTTTACTCCAGTGTCTCTTACCGGGGGATTTTGTCTCTTCCCCCACCACCAGATGTACTGAGGGCACGCGTGCATTTGTACACACGTGACTTGTGCTCATCATCAGACTCTACATACACTCAGCGTCCATCCCAGCTGGGAATATGAAATACTTTGTCTCTCTGCAGGCAGCGTCTGTTTTTCTGCAGCTTTCATCAGGTAAAACTGGCTGTCGAGTTCAGTCAGGCCTGGTTGTGAACTCAAACCCTGCACATCAAATTGAATGAAACTGGGTACTCCCCCGTACAGTATATGTATTTAGAGTTAAACTATGGGACTTTCTTTAGGTCATTCTCTATTCTGAGATTTCAGTGTGTTATTTTTGGCTTTTCATTGTACTTTGTTTCTGAACCATCAACTTAACTGCGTCATTTCACTTTAGTTTGTGATTTTTGTGACTTAGCTGCTGCACAACACAATTTTCCCACTAGGATAATAGTTTTCACTTTTTGTACAGGTTATAAACCTGTAAGAAGAAATATTATGAATATTTTGCTCATTGCCTAACTCCAGTACATTTACATTGAAGTCTAAACTGAAATCTGGATTAATGTGCATAATTAAATAACCAGAGTTTTACAAAAATAACTGCCACATAGATGTTTTTCTTGCACCAAATGACGTAAACTGCAATGCATTGTGGGTGATATCCACCTCGGAGTGACCATCGGTGGGTAGATCTCAACAAGTTCACTTCAGTTTTTCGAACAAATTAAATGACACGGTAGGGATTCCCCCGAGGGCAAAGGAGAAGTCAACGAGGGCACGTTGAATGAACAAAGGTTGTTATTTATATTTCATCATCATCAGCCTGCTCAAACTCTTTATCGAAAATAGAAACATTGATTTTACAAATGTGCTACCTACACACATTCTTTACTTCAGAATCTCTACTTTCAGATACTATAAAAAAGAGAGAGTAAAGTAGAAGTACTGATTCAACTTCTTTACTCAAGTAAAAATGAAATGTATAAAAAGTACTCTCTTGGTTTCTCTGAAGGAAATTTCTACAGGCTGTTGCTAAATTAACTGAAACAACAGGTCTGTTGTGTGATTGTGCACCTGTGGGAAGATGTGCAATAATGCAAAAATAATAATAATAATCAATAATTCTCATCAGATGCATTAAAACTAAACTAATGAGCCTGTTTTGAAAATGTAGAAAGTACAAATATCTGTAAAAACGTAAAAGTATTTGTTCCTTCCCATCTCTTTCAGTTTATATAATTCCCTATAAACATTCAGCCGGACAGAATTTGGCACCTCTGGAAGCTTTGTGATCTCCACCAGAACTGTGCATC